GTGTTTCCACTCTTTGGGAGGTTCACAATATGCAATAAAATCATGGACTGAAAGCACTATATAATAAATACAAAAATGCAATATGTAATAGACCCTGTTGCTAACAAAAAAAACTACCTTTAAATATAAATACACAAATTAAAACCCATTTGAAGATCTCAGGGAGGTATTTACACTAGCGGAAAGCAGCTTTACATAATTCAGTCTTAATTAGCTTCCTAAAAACAGAACAGGATGGGTGCCTCACAAAACTCTGTAGGAAGCCTGACGTTGGGTTTTTGCTTTATCTAATGGACATTTAAGGATTAGAATCGTCAAAGGGGTTGCTTGCATCCTTTTAAACAATCAGCAGTTGTTTGGTGTTTGTGGGGTACGTTTGCTTTACTTCTCAAACTAATGCCAATTTTGTGGAACAACAGTTTGTGAAAATTATAAAGACTTGGGGGGAGGGGGAAGTAGTGCATATTGTGTTGCTCTTGCCTGCAGGTGAGGAATCTTGTGGGACCTGGAAATCCCTCATCACGGTGTCCCCTTAAATTGAATGTAGAATTTAGTGGACATTCTTTACAACTGTTGCTGAGCTCCTTGTCTGAGTGACTGAAGGCGCTATGCTCTGCAAACCACTCTCCACAGAGCATCATCTGATAGTGTCTCCTTGGTCTCCTTATGCTGCCTGATCAAGAAGCAAGCTCAGTCTATCTTGAGACAACGGGATTAGATGATCTTGAATTCCTTCCGCCCGTTTTTGCTTCTACGGCTTTGTGCTGGAATTAGCACTACTTGCACTTAATGAGCCTCCATATCTTTTATGCTATTTTGGCCTATAAAGTAAGCAGATTTTTAGGAGGGCATCCTGAGACCCAGGTATGTTTTTTCCCCTCTCTTTGAAAGAAAGCTGACCCCAAAAAGCCTGCTGTGATCGCCTGCTGCTCTGGAAATGGTTAGCAAAACACTCTCCCTTTTATGTGTTCATAAGCCTATCAATTATTTCACTGGCAGTAGGGTTCAGCATGTCCTACTTGTGGTCTGATTGTGGGGAGAATGGTACAGAGTGTATCAGAGAATCAAAACAATGGTGCTACACTAATTCATGCTGGCAGATAGAGAAGATATATTTCCTATCCATAAGAGAGCCATTTATAAGTTATCACACAAAGTCTACTCTGCCAATTTTTTTTTTTGTTTCAAGTTAGTGTTTTCAATAGAATGAAACGTGCAGTAGTTAAAACCTATTTTCTATCAAGGAAACTTTTGCCCCAGTATTCAATCTGAAAATAAAACTATTTTTACTAGTGAGTACCATATCATATTACATCCTTGAGCCTAGGCCTTTTCCCTGGTCATTTTCCTCTCAGCCTGATCACTCTCCAGACAACAGATGTAGCCCCTGCCTCTTTTTGTATATGAGCCCAAGAAGTACCCTTAATACCCAGAGCAGTGTGACAGGTGAGGAGGGGCCATTTGAACAATAACTTCTCGGGAACTTTTCAGACAGCTGCCCTCTCTTTCTCTCTTTAGTCTCATAAGCCATAACTGGGGGCAAAATTTTTTGAAATGTTCAGTTCATTCTATAGATTTTACTGCCAACTTGACAGGTTCAAAGTATTTTTGTCGGCTCTCTCGGTTATGAAGATAGCATTCCTAATGTAAATTGATCCACCCTCTGGCTCTGTTTGCTGTTGGTAGTCCATCAGAAGTATGTGATAGTTGCTGGTTCAGCTCTGGCATCAAACCTCACGTGATGAACATTTAAGTGATTACAGTATATCCTGTGAGCCCCACAGCGACTCCCCCACTGTCTAAGTCACCCGCCTTTTGTTTCCAAATGATAGGTGGTTTCATATTTTGACTCATATTTGATATCTTCATATGTTCTGAACCTGCGGCAAAGAGGTGGCTGTAAAATGAACGTGATTATGCGGACAGGATTTCTGTGTCGTACTTGTAATTGTAGGAAGAGATTAACTTGTTTATGTAAACTGGGGTTTGGGAGAGTGAAAAGGGAACAATACAGAGTGCAAAGCATTATGTGCTGAGATACCTTGAATTACAAAACAGAATAGTAATTTCCAAGAAAAGAGTACAGAATATCTCTTTCTGGCCTGTTGAGTCTCCCTAGAACAAACTGGACTATTTATTAACGTTGAGAAATAATGAATGCACCAGTGCCGACTTGGAAAGGTTTAGCAATTCAGCCCCAGGGCAAAAAGCCAAATAAAGTCCATACAGAGTAGGGAAACGTCATTCATAGGCTTCCCCAGCCACCATGGCTAGTGGAGTTTAGGAGTGCCTTTCCAAAGTACTGAGTGTACACTCCCAATTTTCTGTATTTGAACAAGGCCCTTGCTCTTTTCAGTGACTTGTCCCTGGAAAAATCATTGCCTATATTTTAGCTCTTGAAGATATTTTAAGGATGCCTTTTGGAAACTTTTCAGTGTATCAGATTTCCTTCTTATAGAAGTTCCATTGTTATACAGAGGGTGGGGAAGAATGTCCCTGACCCTGGGAACCAGGCCGATAGAACATTGAACTTATTATTAAACTTTTTTTTCTGGTCCAGCCGTGAAGTGGGCACTCAGTCATGGGACCTGGTCATGTTGGCATTTGGGTGTTTTGCTTACTTTGATATTATCATTAGATTTGCCTTATCTTTACTTGGTTATATTATCGGCAGAACATTATTGCTTCCTTTAAACTCCTTGAGCTGGCAGGATGGAGGGGAAAAAACATTCTAAATGCAGTGAAATGGACTTAACCATCATAAAATCAAACTTGCTGACGGTAGATTAGGCACAATATCTTAAGTCTGTCTATTGTAGTGAGATAAATTTTATGTGTAGAAAATGGTTCCTGAATGTCACCTTTAGTTCTTCACCAGGCAGAACAATTCACTGAAGGCAAAGTATTTTTCCCTCTTCTTCTCCATTTCCTTTCCCCTCATGTTTCCACTCCTTGCTATCTTTCCAACAAGCACTGCAAATATTTCTTACTGCTCCCTTACACTTTACTCTCTAACAATCCTCTCTCGCCTGAGGTTAGTGTTCTCTCTCTCTTCCCCTTCATAACCCCTCGAATTTTTTTAAAAAGATTCTGGAAACAAAAAAGGAGAGAGCCTAAAAGTTTGAGGCCCAGAGCCAGCTGACATATTGGAACATCTTAGGATTTCCACCTACTCACCTCATCTAAGTCCTCCAATAGCCTTCCTTAATGGTGCAAATATATCACAAGAAGTTGATTTGTAGCTACTGTGATCTTCAGTGTTGCCCAGCTAGCATGACATAGAATTGCCTAAATTTATAACATGATTTCTATTTGTGCAAAATTTCCATGCAGGCCTGAAGCTGGAAGAATGAGGAGCATTCTTCAAGGCAGTAGAAAGGCAGTGCGGGGAGCCTTGCATTCAGGGTGTAATGTATTTTTAATTACATCTTTTGAATGCCCTTGATGGAGATTTTCCAGTCCATCACCCCCTTCCTTTGTCAGTGTTAATGGATTGCATTGATTATGTGATTTGTAAATTTTGCTAGTGGTACACATAGCATGGTGAAATTTAATCTTCTAATTGATTTAATTGATTACATTTTGAATTTTATTACAGTCTAGGCATTGTTCAGGATATCAAATATTCAGGAAGGCATATTCTTGTCTTACATCAGAATTTAAAAGCAGCTTGCATGGAAGGCTTTTAAAAATGCTATCATGATTAAAGCATTGGGGGGGGGTTCAAATCGCAGCAGTTTACTCCTACATTAACTTCAGCAGTAAAGCACTTCTGTACTGTTTGCATTGACACTCCACTGGCCAGCCATCAACTGCTGTTCCTCTGTGCTTTTTCCCCCCCAGATGGCACTGAGTCAGGAAGAACAGGGGATTCTGCCCTTGAGAAGCACAGCCAAGAAAGGGTACTAAGTTCTATTGCCCAAGTGCTGTATTCACACTGTCAGGCAAAATACACGTTGTACTAGTAAACACATAGCCATGTTCAGAGCAATAGCTGTGTTAGTCTGTTTTAGCAGCAACATAAAACAAAAACAAAAGAATTGAAGCACTTTTAAGACTAACAGATGTATTTCTCATCAGCTGTCATGCATTACACTCTGTTGGTGTGGCTGAAAAAGTGGATTGCAATCCATAACAGCTCTAATTCATGTACATTTGCTAGTTTGTTGTGTTTCCATAAATGCGCATCCAGTAATAAAGATACAGGTTGCAGCAGCAGGAAGGCTTTCAAAGTGGTATTTGGGAGTAGGAGAGGGGATGCCTTAACCTTCCTGAGCCCTCTGATTGGCCATACAAATATTTCCCAGCCTATTTTACCTACAACTGGGCTTCTTCTATTCTTCAGGTACTGCTGGGGGGGGGTGTAGTAAAAGAGAAAGTAGCATAGGAGACCATTGGCAAATGGGGGCAGGAGTACACATTTGCCTCCTGACCATCACTCTGTCCTGCAAATGCTCCTCAATCAGGGTTACGAAGGACGTGCCGTCTCCTATATACAACACTGTGGACATGATGGCAGGCTCGCCTGACAGTAAGAAACAACTTGGATGCAATGTTGTCATGTCTCCTCCCTTCTCCATATTGCTGCTGTGGAACAGAAGAAATTGGCTGTATTTCCCAGACTCACAGCAACCAAATAAGCCATGGGAGGGTCACTAACACCTACAGCACTAAACAGCAGTGTGGGCAAATGAGGTTGAGGTTGGCGGTGGCAGAGCATAAAAAGGGAAATAAACGATACTGAAAAGAAGTAGCAGCCAGCAGAATGCAAATGTTTGGCAGGCTGTTTTTCCCCATTAATTTGGTTGGCTGTGCTGAATTTCCTAATTTTAAAGTGAACATCAAAATTAAAGGACATGTGGACGGGGGACACACGAACTAGCAAAAGGATATGTTCGCCAATTGAAAGAAAAGGCCTTTAGGCCATAGTTTAACCACAATAAGACGGGGGACACTGAGCAAGCCACAATATTCATCAGTACTGTATACTTTTTTCTCACCTTCTCCTGGGTGTTGACAGGTGTTCGAATCTACTGGTACCTCGGGGGACGTCTCCTGTGGTGGCTGGTCTTCTCACTGAGGGTACAATTGGAAACATAATGGTAGGAATCATTGTAGGTGTACTTTTTTTATTTCACTTCACTTAAAACACAAGGCTGGATTGTTTTAAGGACAGAGGCCTCTGCGTCCAGTGTCATAGCAATTCTCCTTCAGGCTTTTCTTCAAATGCCAGAAATAGCATTTCTGCAAAGACCAACGGGGGCTGAGATATTTACACCAATGCACGTACAGTCTAACTCAGTTCAAGACCCCTTCAGACTCCCAGTAGCCTCTGGGCAGAATTGGAATGATAGCATTCTACTTCTGAGCAGGGGGAAAAACACAGCCCACAGCTGGACAGCCTAGCTGTGGAAGGAGAGAGACGGGAGCCAGACAACGAGGCTGGCTGAAGGCATTGTCAGTGATACTTGGATCTACTCCTGCCAATCCCTCCTTGTCCTTCCCCAATGCAATCACACTCTCTTCAGTTAGCAAATGCAAAGCAAGCTCTCCTGCAGATTAAACAGCCTGTCAACAGGAAAAGAGGAAAATTAAATTAGACATGCTACTTTAATATGACCAGAGAGATGCAGCCTGTTTCACTGTCATTTGTATAAGGGAAGATGGGCATCTGTTAGTGTTCTACAGCATAGTGGTCCATGGACCCACGGGGGGGGCACAATGTCCTCACAGAGGGTCCGCAAAGGCTTGAAAATGTTTGCCATTAAAATAGAATGAAAGAATGAAAGCAAGAAAGCAAGAAAAGGAAACATAGAACAAAATCTTCATTGTCCTGCTTGTTTGTGTAAAACTTGGCTTTTCTAACCTACTGCCTCCATTAAAAACAAATAAATTTAAAAATTCGTAATGAAAATAACAGTTTGATAGCAAGTAACTTACAAAATCAGACATGTGGGGGAGGGGAGAGGGAAACCCATTGAAATAAATGGGATTAAATCAGGACGGATGATCATGGAGAATCATAGAATCACAGAGTTGGAAGAGACCACAGGGGCCATTGAGTCCAACCCCCTGCCATGCAAAGCAATCCCAACAGATGGCCATCCAGCCTCTGCTAAAAAACCTCCAGAGAAGGAGACTCCACCACACTCCAAGGCAGCCTATTCCACTGCTGACCAGCTCTGACTGTCAGGAAGTTCTTCCTGAGATTCAGGTGGAATCTCTTTTCCTGTAGTTTGAAACCATTGCTTCTTGTCCTAGTGTCTGGAGCTGTGGAAAACAAACCTGTCCCTTCCTCAACATGACATCCCTTCAAATATTGAAACATGGCTATCATGCCCCCCCCTTAACCTTTTTGTAAGGCTAAAAATTCCCAGCTCCCTAAGCCGCTCCTCATAGGACATGGCTTCCAGACCTTTGACCATTTTGGTCGTCCTCCTTTGGACACATTCCAGGTTGTCAACAAATCCACCAAACAGTAGCACCGTCTAGCCCACATTTTACTAGCTTCCTTGAAAGAATATCATGGGGAACTTTGTCAAAGGCCTTACTGAAATCGAGATATACTACATCCGCAGCATTCCCTTCATCTATCAAGCCTGTAACTCTATCAAAAAACAGATCAGATTTCATTTTTTGCCATGACTTGTTTTTGAGAAACCCATGTTGACTTTTAGTGATGACAGAATTGCTTTCTAAGTAATAACAAACTGTCTATTTAATGATCTGCTCTAGAATTTTTCCAGGAATTGATGTCAGGCTGACTGGGCGATAATTATTTGGGTCTTCTTTCCCCCCCCTTTTTGAAGATAGGGACAACATTTGCTCTCCTCCAGTCTCTGGGGACTTCTCCTGTTGTCCAAGAATTCTCAAATATTATTGCCAATGGTTCTGAAATTTTCTTGTTTTTCCTTTTGCTGTGGGAATAACTAAAAAAAAGCTCTTTTTATTGTTTTTAATCTGTCTGGCAAGCCTGAGTTCATTCTGCACTTTTGCTTTTCTTACCTTCCCCCTACATATACTGGCTGTTTCCTTGTATTCCTCTTTGGCATTTTCTCCATTTTTCCATTTCTTCCACATGTTTTTTTTTAACAGTTCAGTTTTAAGTTCTTTAGTCAACCATTCTGGTTTCTTTAGACATCTCGCGTTTTTCCTTCTTATTGGAACAGTTTTAGATTGTGCCTTTAGTATCTCCCTTTTAAGAAATTCCCGTCCATCCTGAACTCCTTTCTCTTTCAGTAATTACCTAGGTTTACTGAAACTGGCCTTCTTAAAGTCTAGAATGCGTGTCTGGTTGCACTTGGCTTCCCCTTCCCACTCTATAACATATCCCAAGACAGCATGGTCACTCCCACCTAAGATCCCACCACTTCGACCCCATTAACAAGGCCATCCCTGTTGGTTAAGATCAAATCTAAAATAGCTGATCCCCTTGTTGACTCTTCCACCTTGTGGACCATGAAATTCTCTGCAAGGCAAGTGAGATATTTGCTGGACCTTATGTTCTTGGCAGAGTTTGACTGACAACATATATTGGGATAAAGTCGTGTCCCGCTTTACGATTACCTCGCATTACAACGAATCTGCTTCACGACGATGTTTTTGGGATCGCTTTTGCGATTGCAAAACAATGGTCTAAATAGGGTTTTTTCGCTTCGCGATGATCGGTTCCCTGCTTCAGGAACCGATTCTTTGCAAAACGATGTTTTTTAACAGCTGATTGGCGGTTTCAAAATGGCCACCGGGTAATTAAAATGGCTCCCCGCTGTGTTTAGGGACAGATTCCTCGCTCTACAGGCACTGAAAATGGCTGCTGTATGGAGGATCTTTGCTGGACGGTGAGTTTTTAGCCCATTGGAACGCATTGAACAGTTTTCAATGTGTTTCAATGGGCTTTTTATTTTCGCTTTACGTCGTTTTCGCTTAACAGTGATTTTCCTGGAACGGATTATCGCTGTTAAGAGAAGCACCACTGTAGTTGAAATTTCCCATTACTACTCCATCTCTGCCTTTTGAATGTGTGGCCATCTGCTCCACGAAGGCATCATCCTACTCCTTGGGCTGGCTTGGGGTCAGTAGTATGACATCCCTCATTTCTCTCCCCCTTAATTCTTACCCAGATGCTCTCAACCTGGCTTCCTGGATTTAAGTCCTGGATCTCTTCACAAGTATAAACATCCTTGACATGTAAAGCTACTCCTCCTTTCTTGCCAGGTCTATTTCAAAATACTTTATACCCCCCCCCAATAACTACATTCCAGTCATGAGTTTCATCCCACCAGGTTTCAGTGATACTTATTATATCATATTTATTTTGTTGTATTAAGCGTTCCAGTTCATCTTGTTTATTTACCATGCTCTGTGCATTAGTGTAGAGACATTTAGGACCATATGTGTTTTTCTTCCCCTTGTTGTTCTCTAGTACTACTTGCCTTGCTGGGCTTTTCTCACCAGCACTTGCTGAATTTCTGCCCTGAAAATTATTGTCTCCCTCCCCCCCCTGAACTCAGTGTAAAGCTCTCCTGATCAGATTTGTGAGCCTCTTAGCAAAAACAATACTTCCAACAGCTGTGAGGTTCACCCCATCCCCTGCCAAAATACAAAATTTGTGAAACAGACCATGGTCCAAGAAGCCAAATTGTTCCTAGCGGCACCATCTGTGAAGCTAGTTGTTCACCTCCATTATTCTTCTCTCCTTTTGTGGGCCATGTCCTTCAACAGGGAGGATAGATGAGATTACAACTTGTGCACCCAGGTCCTTCAGCTTCCTACCCATATCCTCATAATCCTTTGTGATGTCCTGAAAGCTATGCCTCGCAGTGTCATTGGTTCTCACATGGACCAAAAGGAAGGGGTAAGAGTCAGAGGGCTTAATAAGTCTTGTCAGTCTCTCTGCTACAACACAAATTGTGGCTCCAGAGAGACAGCACACCTCACGATTCATCTTGTCAGGCTTGCAGATTGTGGCTCTGTTCCTCTGAGCAAGGAGCCCCAACCACCACAACTCATCTCCTCTGAAGCTTGGTAGGGGACACTTGATGTACAGATTGTTCCTGGGTTCTCTGGATATTATCTGCAGGCTGACACTGCTGCTGTTCCATTTCATGATTAATAAGGGAGAGAGGTTGGAATCTATTCTGTAAAGTCGTGCCCTGCTTAACGATTGCCTTGCTTAATGAGGCAATCGCTTTACAATGAGGTTTTTGTGATCGCTATTGCGATCGCAAAACAATGGCTTAAATGGGGGATTTTCACTTGGCGATGATCGGTTTGCTGCTTTGGAAACCAATTTTCACTTTACAATGATCAGCAAACAGCTGATCGTCGGGTTTCAAAATGGCCACCAGCTGAAGAAAATGGCCCCCTGCTGTTTTCTAGGATGGCTTCCTCGCTTTACAGGCACTGAAAATAGCTCCCCTATGGAGGATCTTTGCTGGACGAGCAGGTATTCAGCCCATTGGAACGCATTGAGTGGTTTTCAATGCATTTCAATGGGCTTTTTAATTTTGTTTGATGATGTTTTCGCTCTACAGCGATTTCGCTGGAACGAATTAACGTTGTCAAGCGAGTCACCACTGTAGCTCCAAACTCCTTGTAAGATTCCTGTACCTTCTACTTCCATGTAAGCACCCCATTTGCCTTGCTTGTTTGTATCTGAATCATATTTAAATAAGTATTTGATGCACTTTAGGGTTGTAAATCTTGAGTTAAGCCTTGGTGGCCTGCAGCAACAAAAGATATTCAAAGGGGAGGGGGGCATGGAAAGTAAAGATTAAGAACCGCTGTTATTTGTCTTTGGAGAGGGATCACACAGTTTTGGAAACCTTGTTAGAAACACCTTGAGAAAATGTAACCCAAGAGGACGGAGAAAAGTACAGCAATGTAAGTGAAGATCATGCTTCAAGGAAGTGATTCAAAGAAGTCGGAATACAGGTGGCCTTCTAGGCTACAGATCATTTTTAATTTTTTTTAATAGTAATCAGGCATTGAATCAAACAGCCAGGGCAAGGCAGCTCCAGACAGTTCTCACTCAAACCTTAGACATGCTGTGATGGAATTAGAAAAAAAAAAGGTTAATTCATCCCCTGTGGTCTGTAAGTGTGGTGCCTGGTAGTTAAATTAGCCAAAAGGGAGGATTCTCTTCAATTAAGAGAATTATCTATGGCTGTGTGTAATGTTTTCCAACATTTCAAGGCCAAGAGAAAGCTGTAGGAAGCTTCTTCCCATGGTTGTCTCATGGTACCTTAACTGCTACCACCTGCCTTCTGTGTGTATGGGGAAGATGCATAACACAAGTTACTTTTGCAGAAGTAACCTACCAGAAGGTTTGGGGAGGAACAAAGCCTGATTGGTGGAAAGGGCCAAAACATCTAGAGAGGGGATGGTGGAATACAAGTAAGGGCAGAAGAATGGAGCATTGTACCAACCCACTGCTTGCTCAGCTTCGTCTCTTAGGAGAATGTAAGCTATCCCTGCCCATCTGCTGAATTCTGCGTATGTCCTGGAACTATGCTACCGCTTTATTACTTTGTAGATGTAGATGTAGGTAGGTAGCTTTATTGTTTTCTGTGGGTTTTATTCTCAATTGCCTAGTCTCTGAGTAAGTTTGCTTTTTGCACATCAATTATGGATTTGCTTCACAACGTTTTGATTTTTTTTGGGGGGAGCTTTAAATCTATTTTTGAAAATATATGTCTTTTTGAAATACTTTCAATAAAAATTCAGCGGTATGACCCCTTAGGAATGCCAAGGAGTTAGTGATACTGAAGAACGTGCCTTCCATCTCAGAAGTCACCCAGGAAGCTTTTCCCAATCACTGGCACACTGAGTACACTTGGGAAGTACAGTGCCTCACTAGATGATAATCAATTCCACTGAAATCGCTGTTTAGCGAAATCATCATCTAGCGAAAAGCATTTCCCCATTGGAATGCATTGAAACCTGTTTAATGCTTTCCAATGGGGAAGAATTGTTGTTGTCTAGCGAAGATCAGCCATAGGAAGGCAGCTTTGTGAACTGCCAATCAGCTGTTTAAATAGCTGTCTTGCGAAGCTTAGGTCCCAAAAACACCCGTTTTACGAGCATGGAGGGGGCTGTCAAAATCATTGTCTAGCGAAAATTGGTTTGCGAAGCAGGGACCAAACATTGTCCAGCGAAATTCCCCCATAGGAATCACTGTTTTGCAAATCACTATAGCAATCGCAAAAAGTCAATGTCTAGCGAAAAAACTGTCATGTGGGGTAACTGTCTAGTGAGGCACCACTGTACACGCAGGGGTGGTGCAGCTGAATGGTCAGTAGATCCTCTCTGTGGTGGCCAGCATCCTAATACCTATATTTGGGAATTACCTTTTCAGACTAGAGGGGAGAGTTCACATCCTCCATGCCAAAAATAGAAAAATAAAGGCAACAAAACACCTTGATCTCATGGTCAGATATGATTAAAGAGGAAGAAGTTTATGATGAAAGAGAGTTTCTTTAAAAGTGGGTAGTGAGGGCACAATCACAAACAATTCTGATGAGAAAGAAAAGTAGGACATGTCTAAGGACGCTATATAAGGAGCTCTCTAATGAGCTGGTCAGTTTGATTAGCTGGGTATGTACAATCTGCACTGAGCAGCAGATACTGCCAGTTCAAGAAAAACAAAACGAAACAACCTGGCAACCAGCCATCGTCTTGGGTAGCAAATTCACTGGCTACCTAACACGATGGCTGGTTGCCAGATGCTGCATATGCTCAACATGGTATGCTGAATTCTGTCTGTGACATCTACTGCGTTACCTGTATCAGCAAGGGTTTTGACTAAATGACCTTCATGGTCCCTTGACTTTACAGTCATGTGGCTCCATGATGGAAGCAGGGATCCAGTCTACTCTTTTCCCTCATGTGATAATTGTCTACATACATGGTGGAGTTATTTATTTGCTCTATTTATTTCCATGTTTAATCGATACACTCTGTTTATTTACTGTAAGCAGGTACATGTTTCAGAAGAAAGAGACTGGGTAATGTACTCCATTGGCTCCATTATTTATAATCACTTCTCATTCCATATATAACTCTTAATCCATTACTAGCCTATGCCATCCCTCACAAGTGGTTTGACATAGGTGTGTAAGGCTTGATCAAATTAGTTTCTTTTCTGAATGGAATGAAGACTTTTCCTCTTTGCATATTTTTTTAAAAGATTATTCCTCCTCTTCATACATTCCTAGCTGGGAAACTCCTATTGCTGAACAGGGTGTGGAGAAAATGAGGAGCATCATAGCAAATAAGCTATACTGCTCTACCTCAATGTATAAACCGGGCAATTGGCAGCAAACCCCGATGCCATTTGCACAAGGAGAAGGTTTCTCATCTCCTTTCTGCCCCCTTTCCACCTTCTCTTATAAAGAAAGATAAAAGATGGTAACTGCTAGACATAATTAACAAGGCAATTGTGAGGAAAGGAGATGGATTGGCAGAAGGTAGACAAAAGAGATTGCAGGGAAACGAGATTGCTTATAATGGGATCCTTGCAAAGCAAGCCTCGGATCTCTCCCTCCTGACACGGCCTCTGTTGTCTACGAGGGCAATCATATCCAACTGTAATTGTCTAACAATTGTTCCACACTGAGAAAATAGTTCTGATTACAGGCATTAACACGTTTAAGCATTAAGTCTCCCTGCTGTAATTACCCTTGAGCTTAGTCTCACAAATGAATTAATATGCTGATCGCCTGGACTAGCAAAAGAGTGATGAATTGCTTCCAAATCAGATAAAATCAAGCATGCCATCGTTTAATTAATTTCTTTGTTGGGGAAAGTATCCAAGGAAGGAGGGTGACGGAAAATAGCTAGGTTGCCTCTTTGTGTGAGCAACATGTCTGCATTTCACCCTCATTCCCATATAGAACGGTGACCGTACAGCACAAGGAAAGGACTCTCTTTCAGCAGAAGATAAATTCTGCGCAGCGTTTGCTCCCAGAGTGTTCATTTTACAGCGTTCAGGCTTTTCAGAATGGGTTTAATGATCACTTATGTTTGCCACTTTTAAAGCTGACACAAAGAACTAAGGGCCAACAGTTAAGTTACATAAGTGAAAAGGTTGTAATGCAGTAACAGAAGAGGGCAGAACCAAAGTGGCAAGGATGCGGCCACGATGAAAACAATTCTTCCAGTAACTCTGCCCCCAATTTGCTTAATGATGTGTTGGTTCTCCTGTAATGCTGCCACGACGAAACCATGCGAGAGTGGTAGCAGCCACCTAGTTTTGGTCATGTAAGAATCAGCCCCAAGATTACTTTTTTTGTATTTTATACAGTACAGTCCAATCAATGTGCATCAGACGTCACAAACTACAAGGGGGCAGATTGCTGCTCTGAGGTGCTTATAAAACTAATTTTTAACACAAGAGGAGAAACAGGTTGGGAGGGGAGACGGCAGAGGTAAACAAAGAGGGATACGTCTTTCCTTTGTGCTGCAAAGCTTCTAACAAGATGTGAGCCCAAGATATACAGACTCTCCTATGCTCAAATAACAGCTGTTACATAATCCTAGTAGCCTGAAAGAAGAACATAGGCAGCCCATAGGGAACAGCCCCTGATCATCATGACACACACACATACACCCCGCCACCGCCTGCTCAATTCATGAGTTGTTGCTGGACATAGCAAGCAACGCTTGTTAGAAGAAACAACAACTCAATAGTACATTTTAATATCTCTAAGAAACCAGATCCAAACTGAGGGGAATTGCTGATGAAAGGTGAGGAAAGAGAAAAGTACACAGGATGTGTATCATCTCCCGGACTACAAGAAAAGACAGAAGCCCAGTGTGGTGGGTCTTTCAAACACTATCTGTCTCTATTTGCTCCTGGTTGTTTGTTTGTTTGTTTGTCTGTGTGTGCGTGCGCACACTCTTCCATCTTTTGCTTCGCTTCAAGGCACAGGTTTGATTTCAGTTAATTTAATAAAGTGAGATGCTCTCTTTATTCAAACAGGTAGTAACTTAGACCTCCACAAAGTCTTCCTTGTGCTATTCTAACCTACGTATAGTCTGTCCTTCATGTATTTTGCTGCTTACTGGTTAATATTCTGCCAGAACCCTCAGCAATAGGATTCAACAGCATTCTCCCCTTCCCTCTGCTGAAATTTCCTGCGAGGATTTCCCAAGTTTTTAGAACTAGCTCTTAGCTTACTTAAGCCTCTGCACTCGTACAGTGCAATCTATATTCTTACGTCTTGGGCTGAGCTTATGAGCAAGGTACAGCTAAGCCCGTTCTTCCAAGATGGGCAACATTCTGATTCATTTACTGTATGTGCACAAAAGTGATGTCACACAGTCTCCCCACCCCCCATGTGCATAACGGAAGCTCCTTTGCACAGAACTGACTGTACAAATGGTCAGGGGGATTGGACAATCACAGAGAATCTAAGATGCCCTTTGTCTTAAGACAACAACCAGAGGCCGTGGCCTCATTTCTTATATTGTAAGGTGGGTTTTTTTTAAATCCCCTTCCAAAAGCTATGTCATTAGATTCAATATGGCCTTCACTCAGAGCGTGAAAACTTTTAAAAATAAATATAATTCTATACTATACAGCTGTGCATAACTAAACAGCAGAGCATCATCCTGTCGGTGCTCAGTTATGTGTACCATCATATTAATTCTTTTAGAAGTGTGTTCCTGAGCTCTGTCCTTGGCATCAAAGGTGGAACAGAAGAAGCAGCAAATCCAGAGTATCAACTGTGCCAAGGTGTGTTGCTTAACTGGCACCATCTCCCTGAACAATATGCTGGCTTGATAGTATACCTGAATTGAGTCCCAGAGGATGCCGTTTTCTCCAAGCAACTTCTCTTTCTTCTTCAGAAAAGTATTTGTCCATTTTCTGCTGGAAAGAGCGCATTCTTTTTGCTTCCTGTACACAAAGAGCAACAGAATCCATTGAATGGCTACAACACATGGACAACCCAAATGGAAGGGCATTGCTACTCAGTGTATGTGATTCAGAGCTATGGGCCAGATATAGCTCTCATTCATGATTCAATCTGTCTCAGGAATCCAGATGTAACCTCAAGTTACAACTACTTTGGCTGGATTAAAAAACACTACTGTATCTTGCCCTTCCTTCAGGTCGTTCAGGATGGCACAGCTGCTTTCCTGCTTTCTCTTTTTGATGTGAGATGGAGAGAAGTTGAGGAAGGGGAGGGGCTTCAGAGACAAGGACGAGTTTTCCTTAAAGCCCTTGCAGGCTGACTCAGAAGGGTCAGCTACCTTAATCCAGTCTATGGGGATGGATCTTGCTTATGATTATGGTTTCAATGAAATGGACTTTGTTGTAGATGGATTATGTTTATTTATTTATTTATTTATTTATTTATTTGATTTTTACCCCGCCCCTCTAGACCATGTCTACTCGATATTGGGCTGAGCTTATGAGCAAGGAATGATATTGGTCTAAGTTAGGTTTCAGCCAGAAGTTCTAATATAAGAACCTTTGGCTGAAATTTGGAACGTGGTATAGTTAGGGTCCCTAAAACCAGTGATGATTTATAAGGGACAGCATTATTTGAAGGTTCATAGACTGAGCATTACCGTGATGATGGCTGTCACATACATTGATGGCCATGCAGCCTCTGTATAGGTAGGAGGTAAAGCAGATGCTTTGTCTACAGAAGGTCTCAGCTCTTGCCTTTCCCACGAAAAACGTCAAGATGTGGTGATGGAAGAAATTTTTACCTGAGATTCTGGACTCTATTGGATTAATGGACAAAGAGTCTGCCTAGGGCAACTTTCTTTGTCTGCAACTCAAAATGGCAGGGTTTGAAAATATTTATTTTGAGGTGTCTTCAAATTAGTCTTTGCATTCTATTAGACTGATGTGATCATTTACTGTGGCCGTGTTAAGGGGAGCAAATAAATACAGATGGCTTTCTGATATAAACTGAAAGCTTCATTGATGCTTAGCGTCTGGCTCTGCACTGCTAAAGATCACATGTTTTTAAATAGGTATTTTAAAGCAGTATGTTAATAATCAAATATTTGTATGCAGTCAGCCTCTGGAGCAAGCAAATGTCCTCTAACTGTAATTTTAGCCTGGTCAAGGTAATAGACCTCTCTCATTAAGTGCCTCCAAATTTCCAATCTATCCATGAACGTGAAAAATCTGTGCTAATTAAGGCCTGTCGTATAGGCCAATAGTGCAGAGAGAAGGTAAAAGGTTTCCAGATAATTATTTTAAAGCCACAGAACCTATATTGATATGAATGGGCTATTTTGCACTTAGCTATACCATATTGTAGTTCTTATTAATCAGATGACTGGATTATTTAAAACACTAAGACCTGTTATTTGGTTACATATAAAAAAAGAGGTTTTATAATGCATCTTGATTCTGAAAAATATATACAGGTATGACATGTTTTGTTCCCCTTTCTAAAGGAAACAACATTTTTTAGTTAGTGGCTGAGAGGCTGGTGTAATATAGTCTTCCTAGATATGTCACTATGATTGATAATCCAATAATCTGTGCATAAGATTAGCCTATGGCTCCATGCTATGAGAGTCTACAGCTGCAATTCTGTACATATTTCCCTGGGAGAAATCCCCATTGAAAATAGTGGGATGAGTTTCCAATTAAACCTGTGAAGCATTGTGCTGCATGTGTCCAGTCCTATATATTACTTGATAGTCTTAATTTCCATTGACTTTGTTAGAATCAAAGAATCTGATTACAGCCACACTTTACAGAGGTCTGTGTTCTTGTAGCCTCAGAAACTAGAATGGGATTACAGATGATCCACAGATGATCAGGGGAAGCGCTTAATTGACAGCAGGAGCTGAAGTGCCATTCAGATGGCACCAAAATGGCCAGTCTGGACAGACCCTGAATCTCAATTTCATTGCATTTCTCTGAATCCACCCTGCATTTTCTCCATACTTGTTTTGTGTGGGGTGGCAAGAGGTTGTGATTTTTCTACATAGAGAAATTACAAGGATAGTAATACTCATTTCCCCGTTTACATTCTTGTATTTATTTACTAATTTTAACTAATGTACACATTTCCCCAATTAGTTAAAGCATTGTGTGTTTATGTTTTCTTAACTGTGCCTATTTTTAAATGTGCACATTGTTGTGTGCACAGTTTATATTTCTGCAGCACTCTGTAAGCATCAGAAGGGTGTGAATTCTCAGAGTGAGATGTGCCTCTTCTCACAAAAAAAGTATTGAAAGCTGCCAAAAGCCTACTTTTATCAAGACTGACAAATCTAAGGAAGCTCTTAGAAGATTAAATCTGACATGGAAAAGGTGGATAGACAGGGTTTCTTAAAAGCTTTCCCCTCTACCTCAATATACTTACTGTTTTTTCTTGAGGGCCTCCTTACTCTAGCTTTATAACCAGGTACTATATAAACTGGCAACAGGCTAAGATAAGAGCTGCTTATATATCAGAAGTTTCCACACAGTTAGGATGGTGTTTAGATGGCTTGTGTGGAAGAAGCCTCAAGTTGAAGACTAAGGCTTTCATAGGTTGGTTGCAATTTGTGATCAAGAGATATCTATCAGTTCTGTCTACTAAGCATCTGGTAGCCTTGAATAACCTTATAATAATATCCCAAGCTATGTATATGGAAATCTACTTTAAAAAAATAAGCACTGTTTATCACAGATACATATATCATGTATGAGATTATTTGAACTAGGTTTTTTATATCCCTTTTAATAAAATACACAGAGAATAGTGTGCCAACCTTTTCCATTTTTTAAGAAAACATTCTTGACATTATCTAGATAATATACATCAGTGTGAAGTACAATTTAATGCATGTTATTATCACTAACAAGGGAATGGACTATAGCTCTAAAGAGATGGGACCTCAAGTGAACTAGATTTCTTTCTACCTAGAAAGGGAAATGTAGTGTGACACAATTTCAGGCATTCTGTTCTGAAAAGGAGGGCAGATAATAGGATTTAATTTTAATAAATAATAAGCACGGTAGGACCCCCATGTTCATGGGGGATGGGTTCCATGATCTACTGTGGATACCTGAGACTGTGGATACAAAAGAATCCTATATACAATATTCAAGTGCCAGGTCAAAGTCCACGAGGGGCACCCTTGTATGTTGTATCAAACTGCTGAAAAGTGAAATTGTGGATTCTGATCCTGTGGCTATGGGGGTCCTACTATACATACACACAAAGTCTACTCATCTATCAATCATACAAATGTTTAACAAACAAGAGAATACACAAAATTGTTACATGACTAGACTCTCAGATGGCTGTAGACCCCCAGCGTTTGGGGCCAAGTGTCAATCACAATATATAAAAATTTAGCAGCCATAATAGCAAAAGGGCTGTTTTGGCTTAAACATATTCATAGCAGATAAGCATCAAACCTGCCTGGGAATCCTTTCAGGATGGGTACAAGATTCTGTCCCTTGGGCACTTGTACAAATCAAAGTATAGAATCATACAGTATGTTGTATTGTCTCAGTAACTCCAGTGGCTCATGGGCATATTGGTTGCCATGAAATCACCTTGCCATCATTCCATGGGACATACTAGTAATCCTTGCTAGAAAGAAGGTTCTCCTATACTTGGGGATTGACAGTTTGCTCAAGTAGAGAGTGCATGCATTACTAGTGGTGATAATGAGACCAAGTGCTGAAGGAATATTTTGAATGTGCAAATAAGCATTTCAAATAGAATACTGAACTTTTAACCCCAATATATCAAACAAAGCAATCATACAACTAGAATTATTTAAGTACCTTTGCTTTGAGTTCCTTTCTGTCCAGCTGTAGAATTCATGCAGCTGATGTAAATATTTAGAGATAATTCTCAGTATTCTTTTTGCGAGAAACAAAGTTAAATCTATATTGCCCCAGTGTGAATTCCTTGTAGCATTCCATGTTATAAATTGGATTGGGCAACTGTGGATTCCCATAATTTATTATTTATTTATCTGTTTATTTATTCTATTTTACTCCATGTTTCCACTGTAAAGTAGCACTCAAGGTGATTTACAGCCTTTGTCAAAGAATACAAATGCAGTAAAACCCAAATTAATTATAATCTTTTGCTACTGGATATTTTGGCTGATGGAATTGCAGACCAAAAATATACATTCAGTACCATAGTTGCCTATCCCTAGATGCTCTTTCAGAGTAGGCCTTTGGTCTAGATGGGCGCGATAGAAATCAATCAATCAATCAATCAATCAATCAATCAATCAATCAATCAATCAATCAATCAATCAATCAATCAATCAATCAATCAATCAATCAATCAATCAATCAATCAATCAATCAAATAAAAAATAAATAAATAAATAAATAAATAAATACCAGAATTTGATGGGCAGTGTTAAAGGAAACAAACTCTAATATTTATCACCATGATTAAAACTTGATTAAACATAATTAAAGTATATTTGAAAATATGAGACACATTGAATTCACTACATCACGTTTCCAAGAAAATATGCTTGTACAGTATTTTTTAAAAACCTTGGTGTCAAATTTCAAAAACATATTTGAAATTAATTTTTTTTATTTTGAAGTGATAGCAATTTTTTTTGTACATTGTGTTGTTGTAGTTGCAACGTATTCAGCAGTTGAAAGTTTGTGAGTAATTGAAAAGTTTGCAAACAGGGTTATCCCTTTCCTTTCCCCCTCTAAATGAAAAAGTCTTTCCATTTTTGGAAATTCCTGTGCATCTGCCAGTCAGAAGTTAGAGGAGAATTAATAGGACATGCATTTAAGTACCTAATATTGTGCAATTTATTTGAAATTTCTGCTTTTAGCAATGCACAAGTTATCTAAACTGCTCCTTTCAGCATATTTAACAAAAGCCAATATTAACTAAAGTATATTTTAACAAGTCTGCCAAATGCCATGCACTCTTCACT